AATTTCGACTCAGTAAAACCGCGATGGAGATTTGCAGAGCTAACGGTCTACTCACTTTTGTTGTGGTCCCCAGCAAGGTCGACTCCCCAGTCTGTTTTATTAATATATCAACCTTAGTTTGTCTTCTTTTTTCCAGTGCGTCTCAGCTAGCAAGGACGGCACATGTATCGTTTGGGATTTGGAGTAAGTTTATTATCGATTGTAATTATTTTTTTCTGAAATCTTACGTTTCACAATGATTCTTTTTAACTCTTTACACGCGGTGGAATGAAAAAACTCTAAAACCTTAAGGTCGGCACACACGAGGGGACTAGTCCCTGCGACTAGTCCATGCGACTAGTCCCGGCGACAAGTCTTTGAAGGGTTTACACGAGGGGACCGGTGGCAGGGACTAGTTCCTTAAGGCGTTCACACGCGGGCACTCAATTGCACAAGAACATAGTAAAATTAAGAGGTAAAAGATGTTTCTTATTCTGGGGCGTTACACGAAAACAGTGAAAATTTGGTAACTTTTCATTGTAGCACTATTAAACATCAACGCAATCGGATTATTCATGCTTTTACGTGTTCCGTTTTTGTTTTGTTTTTTTTATTTTTAACAGACACAGAGTAAAATAGGGTAAAAATTCCATCAAAACGGCTCCAAGACATCTGTATATGTATATGTTTACAAAAGTAGAAATAGTTTTTTATTCTTCAGTTGTAGAAATCTAAAATTCAGGGTAAATTCCTAGAAACTGCAATGTTTACAAATCATACTGACTCGTGATTGGCTTATTTACCGTTTAGTCACAGGGACTGGTCGCACAAACAGTTCACACGAAGGGACAAACATTAGTTTCATGCGACAAGTCCCTGCGACTGGTCGCACGAATTCAAACCAGTTTGAATTCGTGCGACCAATCGCAGGGACCAAATTTTGGTCCCTCCGACCACAGAAATGTGTAGTTCACACGAAGGGATTAGTCGCATGAAACTGGTCGCTGGGACTAGTCGCAGGGACTAGTCCCCTCGTGTGTGCCGACCTTTATTTTCACTGACGGGACGAGCATAAAGACGAACATAAGGCATAAAGCATAACAGGTCTTATTTCATCGTAAGAATGGCTTGGGCATAAGGAGTCGAAACACAGGGACAAATAAAATTCAGTTAATTTTTGTATGGATACTTGTCCTTGCATAGTCTCCTTCGAAGAAGGACTCAAACCTATGACGCCACGGTAAGTTTTGACCGTTTATTTTGGATTGTTCTAGGCAAATGGTGCGGTACACAATCGTGTTTGCTAACACCATGTTCAAGGCCATCTGCTATAATCCGCCAGAGAGTCAGATTATCACGGCTGGGACGGACCGCAAAGTAAGTGAGCGGCGAATGTCAGTCGTCACCTCTAGGTGCAGAGATTGGAAAGCTAAAGGCAGAACTTTGAAAAACAGATGGGTTTAGTGACCGAATGTCAGTCATTACTTCTATATAATTTGGATATATCAACAAAGTTGAAATGGTAAATTGGCCACCGTAACGATTATAAAAGCTGACGTTTCGAGCGTTAGCCCTCCGTCGGAGCGAATCATTACTTCTATATGCAGAGATTGGAAAGCTGAAGGCAGAACTTTGAAAAACGGATGGGTTTAGTGACCGAACGTCAGTCATTACTTCTCTTTGTAGAGATTGGAAAGCTAAAGGCAGAACTATCAAAAACAGAAGGATTTAGTTAAATGTTACGTCCAAGCTGCACAACTTACTTTGTATCTGTGGAAACTGACAGTTGGGCCGATCTTAACCCATCGTTTTTTATAACATAACCAAAGTAAAGCGCGCGCTCTGATTGGTCGATTTAGCTTCCCCTATTTGCCCATGGGTGTACGCTGCTGACGTGAGCAAATGCAAAGACTATTTTTCCGCGCGCGCTTGTTTTTTCTGGTCGCGTAAGATTTGTTAAACAAAAGGGAACTCTTTAGCTTCAATGTATCAATGTTATGTTATAAAACAAATGGTAAACACCACAGCGTACACTATTGAGTTATGGATGCACTTGGGAGGTTTGCTAAGCACTCAAGAAGCTAGAGTCGCTCTCGGCTATCGCCTCGAGCGACTCTTACGCTTCTTTCGTGCTTAGCAACCTCCCGCGTGCATCCATAACTCAATAGTGTACGCTGTGGTGTTTACCATTTGTTTTATAACATAACATTGATACATTGTAGCTAAAGAGTTCCCTTTTATTTAACAAATCTTACGCGACCAGAAAAAACAAGCGCGCGCNAATAATTATAACATAACCAAAGTAAAGCGCGCGCTCTGATTGGTCAATTTAGCGTCCCCCATTTGCCCATGGGTGTACGCTGCTGACGTGAGCAAATGCAAAGACTATTTTTCCGCGCGCGCTTGTTTTTTCTGGTCGCGTAAGATTTGTTAAATAAAAGGGAACTCTTTAGCTACAATGTATCAATGTTATGTTATAAAACAAATGGTAAACACCACAGCGTACACTATTGAGTTATGGATGCACTTGGGAGGTTTGCTAAGCACTCAAGAAGCTAGGGGCGATAGCCGAGAGCGACTCTTACGCTTCTTTCGTGCTTAGCAACCTCCCAAGTGCATCCATAACTCAATAGTGTACGCCGTGGTGTTTAGCATTTGTTAAGTTGAGTATAGTCAAACAACTCTTAAATGTAAAGCGGATTATTGTGAAGGAAATTGTTTCGCAATTGTCACAAGCGTAGTACAAAGAAAGTATCTGAGAATCCCGAGAGGAATTGGACATCAGACTATTGGCTTTCTCTGTTTCACGCTTTACATGACAAACAATCGTTAGTAAGGAAGGCCGTTTACTTGGTTCCCATTTGAGACAAATTTTTCTGTGCTTTCGTTCAACCTTTTTTTTCGGTCTGAAGAGTGCCATGAACACCCAAGACAAGCAATAACAATCTTAAAGAAGAAAGAGTAACTATCGTAAGAGGCACAGAAAAACCAAACAATTTTAATATTGTTATCAAATGATAATAGAAAAACTCTCCAATTTTTTATATCATAGAAATAATCTGACTGTGAATCCTTGTTAGGAAGTTATACATGATGAAAGTTAAGAGATTTTTCTAAAGTGCCGTTTCTTTCTTTGTACAATAAACCAGTTATGTATAGCAAACTCGTGACTTTTTATGATTTCTGTTATTTCCAATAGATTGTTTACTGGGAAACGTACGACGGAGGGCAAATTCGAGAACTGGAAGGATCCAAACGGGGATCTATAGATGGTATGGATATATCCTTTGACGGAACGCACTTTGTTACTGGTGGCGCCGACAAAGAAGTTGTGGTATGTATACGCATAAGCTGTCACTTCCTGACATCTTAACGTTCTAGTGTAATCTAATGGTGGAAGGAAAAGAAAAAGAGAAAAGTTATGGTACAAAACTATGAAGATAATGAAGAAACAGCTTTACAATACTTTCGGTACCTAAAATTGAGTCACGAGTGCGAGTCACGAGTGCGTCTTAGGTGCGAGCACGAGGGCTGTACAACACTTACATTTTTCTTAGTTTATGGAGGGATCGCTTGGATGAAGAATGAAATATCAAGCTTTTTTGTATATCTTCTTAATGTTAACTATTGTGAATATTCGATAGTTTTTGATTAAAAACTGTAAGCAGCCATAACCCAACATTCTTTTGTGAGCTAGTATAGGTGGTTTGCACGTTACGTCATGGCCGCCATGTTGGTGGACGTAAACAATAGATATCTCATTAACTTCTTTTGTTCGTCCACCAGCATTTGTTACTTTCACCATTGTTACCTGTGTCTCTAGAGATTGGTTGCAAACCACCTATGCAATCTTTAGAGATGACCTTTTATTGCAGAAACTATGATTTAGGACGTATTCCGTGCAGTTAATCACAACTCTGGTGCAAACTTATTATCTAGATTCAAACGTAAAATACATTTTCTTTGGGTTACATTTGCGTCTAAACACGTTTTATTTTGTCTTCTCCTCAGAATTAGTTGTTGTTTTCTTTTTTCGAACGTTTTTGCAACTAGCACACTCGCCTGACTTTCCTTATGACCTTTGATCTTTCTTTAGGTGTGGAAGTACAATGAAGGTCAAGAGACTCATGTTGGCAAAGGCCACGGAGGGGGTATCACAAGAGTGAAAATATGTCCAAACAACAGGTGGATTGTCTCCATAGGAACGGACGGCAGCATTTTGAGATGGAAATACCCTCATTAAAATAACTACCCCTGATTTGTTATTGTATGATTGTATGACGATTTTTCTTAAAAACTGTCATAGTTAAGTTTATACCAGATGCAGATACATGTAACATTTTGCTGAAAAACATCACTTTGAGGTATTTTGAAGAGATTCACATTGTAAAACCTAACTGTTTGTAATTTAATCAACACAGTCCAGCGTGCGCGGTACTTTATCATTATAATTAAGTCTATAGTCATTTTTGTTTGTCTTAGTTGGACACTATTGTTTGGTGATGACTATTAGTTCATGATCGTGATCCAAGTGAAAGTTACTAAATTATGTAAATTGCCTTGTGTACATTGAGATTACGCGATTTAATCTTTGCAAGTTTGATATTTAATTTTAAATGGGGTGGGCAAAGAGACAGGGTAGCGTACTATTTTTAAAAAGTTTCGGCGGTTTGATTTGGACATGAAGTTGAATTTCAGGGCCACCTCCATTATTTCTTGTAATACTGTCGATTTATTTTTTTGTTTTTGTTTTACAGAACCAAAACTTTTTAATTGTACACTAGTTTAAGGCAGATGTTTTGGCAAACGGGAAACTTATTGTAAAATAATGTTTGTAGTTAGCGGCATCGTTATGCCCGCTTTTTCGTCGTTGGACAACATTTGTAATCGTGTATGGATTACGCGCCATTAAATATAGCGGCCCTATTAAAACACATGATGGTTTTTCGTCTTTTATCTCTTTAAATTATTGGTAAAATTTCGGGACTGATTCTTTTAATTGCCAGAGATAGCATATCGTCTTTGTCTAAGGTATTTGTGGATGTGTCCTTACGAAATATATATTTCAATAGCAAACTTTAATCGAAATTTGACGCACGAGGTAGCATTTTATGCATCAAGACAAATATTTGTGAACTCGATTCTTATTAACCACCTGGGCGACAGAGGTTTTCACTTCATTTTGGCTAAAATGAATCACAAAACGGCCCATACCTGGTGCGAAGCTCTTTGTTTATGAAGTTTTTTCTTTCTTTGTCGAATTAAGGTTAGATGGCAATCTTGAGATTAGATATTATACCAAGCCAGTGACCACTCAGGTCTCAACAGGACTGCTTGCTTTTTGAAGTAGAACGCGAAAATAATCATGTACTGAACATCTGTTATACGCACTTTATTGCAAAATAGGCTGATATAACGGAAAGGTGTGTTAAGGTTTGCTTGTGTTACCTTGTCATGATCAGTGAGCTTGAATTAAAATCTTGTAAAGGAAGGTTAAAGATTTTAATTCTTGAACTGAATACTGCTTAAACAAACGTGACCAATATGTCGCCTCATGAGATCTCTCTTTAATTTTTAATGGAGTCGATCGTGCAAGACCAGCCACAGAGGGAAAATGCCTCCGAAATTCTGAGTGGAAAAAAATTTCCAGATAAAACTTTGGCTAATTGCGTGGAGCGATAAATTAATTCGACGAGTGCGATTTTTCTCTTGAAAATCATTTGAAACAAAATATCAGTCCTCTAACGGTCTCTTTTGCAGCTTGTCTAATGCCTTGAATTCTCCAACAATACAGTAGAGGATTTAACGAAGAGTTGAACAAAACCAAAGTCCCGCACCAATAAAACGCCGCAGAAACATGATCGTTCCATCCGCTGAATCGGCCGATGATTTTCAAACAAGCGTAAGGCAGATAACATACACAGAGAGAGGCATACACATAGAGCGCGCTGATGAACGACTTCCGATACGACAACATGTTAAACGAGGAATCATCTGCATTTCTTTTAAGAATAAATGAAGGCAGCTTGGAAGCAGCGTAGTGAAAGACTTGCCTTGTTTGTTGCTTTCGAATGGATATATACACCAAAATACAACACACAAAGGATATTAAGGCGCAAATAAAAATCCCTCCGTAAGTTGCGCCCAGGTACAGAGGGTAATTCCATACATACGCTGTTGACATGATTGCGCTTAAAATGTATGAAAATATCAGAGCCATAGTTACTCGTCGAAGTGTAACAGTTTCTCTGTATCTGAATTTTAAGCGCAATGCTAATAAACGGTCCATACTTATGGCTGTCATGGTTAGCAATGAAATTGCACAAAGGAAAACGGACAAAATATTATGAGTGGCGTGGATTACCCCGTCTTGTTTTAATTCACCGTTTGATTTCATCTCAGTTAAAAGATAACTCAAATAAAGAGGATGACCAATGACACCAACACCGAGATCCGACAGAGCTAGACCAATGTACAAAGCTTTAGACGGAGCGTGAAGCGAAGAAATCTTCCGGAGAGAAATTGCTATCACAATGTTGCCAAAAGTCGCCGTAAATGACAATAGGACATTGAGCACGCAGTTTCCTATGAACGAGACCAATAGAACGTTGGATAACTTTGGAGCGGACGAGTTGTCGAAGCTTTCCTCCACACTGGTGTTGATGGAATTAAAATTCGCCATGACCTCAAGACAGAAGTCTGGGCTAGAGTGATCTCTGACACGAGAAAAAAATAACGAAAATTGGTTAAACGTTGAGACTAGACTGAGCTACGGCAAAACCAAAAGATGGAGACAGATGAAACCCATTCAAGTAAACTTACAAACATTGCACTCATGATTGTTAGCATGCCAAAGTTTTCGCTATAGACCACTTTCATAAATGGCTGCTGGATTAATATTCTTTTGTTTAAATTTGAATTCTAACATAACCAAAGTAAAGAGCGCGCTCTGATTGGTCAATTTAGCGTCTCCCATTTGCCCATGGGCGTACGCTGCTGACGTGAGCAAATGCAAAGACTATTTTTACACGCGCGCTTGTTTTTTCTGGTCGCGTAAGATTCGTTAAATAAAAGGGAACCCTTTAGCTACAATGTATCAATGTTATGTTATAAAACAAATGGTAAACACCACAGCGTACACTATTGAGTTATGGATGCACTTGGGAGGTT